CACTATGCAAGTTAACTTATACACAGTTTTACACATAACTCTTTTATGCCTAAACTGTTCTGCCCTTTGAAATAAAAAAAAATAATAATAGAGCATTTTATCCCTGTATAAGAGAGAACTATTTTTGAAGGCTTTGCCTCAGTTTTTATGAATTACTTAATTTATACCCGTTTCTTGTGGCCTACAGAATGTATTCTATTCTTTTATTTGTTTGATTTTTTTTTTTTTAAGAGCCAGTTTAGGCTTTAGATTATTTTTTTTTTCAGTGAAGACCTTCCCTTACACAATAACAATTTTTTAAAAATCCCCTGACATAATGTTAAGATTTATTTTCTTTTTCTTTGTGGGTATTTTTTTTTTTTTTGACAGTCTCACACTGTCCCCCAGGCTGGAGTGTGGTGGTGCAGTATCAACTCACCACAACCTCCGTCTGCTGGGTTCAAGCAATTCTCATGCCTCAGCCTCCTGAGTAGCTAGGATTACAGGCGTGTGTCACCATACCTGGCTAATTTTTGTATTTTAGTAGAGACAGGATTTCGCCATGTTGTCCAGGCTGGTTGCCTCAGCCTTCCAAAGTGCCGGGATTACAGGTATGAGCCACCATGCCTACCCAAGACTTATTTTCAAATCAGAAGATTTTCAACGTGAAAATAAGCCAGTTCCAAAGGTGTCAATGAGCTGAATCTAATATTTAAACTTTTATTTTTGTTTTCTTTTTGCTTTTTGCTATCTCAAAGTCATCAGAATAATATTTCCTTTTATTGATGCATTTCCTGGGCTGATCAGAGTATGTGAAGCTCTCTGACTCTGAATTGATCTAATAAAACACATTAATGTAAATTTGCCTCTTTCTGTATGTGTTTGCTGATTCTGTACACTTGAACCATTCAGATTATATTGATAAGAATATTATATTTTGAAGGTAGGGAATTAATTGATCCTTTCTATTTATGTTAAAATACGTAAGCATTTGGATTTACTTTCAGTCTACATTAAAAATATCTGAGGTTGAACCTGGTGGCCCATGCCTATAATCCCAGCACTTTGGAAGGCCAAGATGGGGAGATTGTTTGAGGCCAGTAGTTTGGGACAAGCCTGGCCAAGATAGTGAGACATTGTTTCCACAAAAAATAAAAATAAATAGCCAGGTGTGGTGGCACCTGCCTGTAGTCCCAGCTACTCGGGAGGCTGAAGTGGGAGGATTGCTTGAGCGCAGAATTTCAAGGTTGCAGTGAACTATGATTGCATCACTGTACTCCAGCCTGGGCAGCAGAGTGAGACCCTGTCTCAAAAAAAAAAAAAAAAAATCTCTGGGAAACAGGATTATTATTATTTTTTTCTATTTGTCTTTGAGAGATAATCTAGCTGACTGGTAATATATGTGAAGTTGGCATTTCAGACTGATTGAGATACAGTAAGATTTGGGCTAGCCTGATAAACAAAATGAGAATAAAGGAGACTGTGAATGACACCTCTTACTGGATCATGAGACTATGCCATGGCTTGATTAAGAGCTCAGCGTGAGCCTTAGCATGATTTGAAGAGTCTGCTTCTAGAATCTAGAATACTCTTTCACGTGCCTGATCAGTGTAAATAAGTATTTGTTATGTAAGTGTTATGTTAAAAAAATCTAGAAAAATAGTATATGTTTTCAAACTATATATTTTTCCTTAGAATCTTTGACTTTTCTAAATGTACGTTTAAGTAACACTCTCACATTATTCTTGGATTTGCCTAAGTAGAATTGAAGGCTTTATCTGCAGTCTATTTTTGTATCATGATAATTTATCCATTGGAAGCAAGTTTGACATTGTGAAGATGAAGCAGTATCTTCTAATGAGGGTTCCCAGAATAGAATCTGCATATTAATAAGTCTGCCTGTCATTTACCTAAAATCCATTAACTGCTTAGTGTTTGTCAACTATTCATAGATCATGCCTGATTAATCACTGACTATTGACTTCATTAGGCATTGTTAGTAGATCAAAGGGGTAGTAAGCCTAACAAAATAATAAGCAATGGTTGGTTACTTAAATCCCAAAAGCAGATTTTATCTATTGATTGATTGATTGATTGAAACAAAGTCTTACTCTGTTGCCCATGCTGAAGTGCAGTGGTGCAATCATAACTCACTGTAAGCTTGAGCTCCTGGTCTCAAGCAATCCTCCCACCTCAGCCTCTTGAGTAGCTGAGACTACCGTTCATGCCACCATGCCCAGCTAATTTTTTATTTTTATTTTTTGTAGAGATGAGATCTTGCTGTGTTGCCCAGGCTGGTCTTGATTCCTAGGCTCAAGGGATCCTCCTGCCTCCTCCCAAAGTGCTAGGATTATAGACATAAGCCACTGTACTTGGCCTAAAAGCAGATTTTTAAAAATCTACCCATTTGCACTCTGACCAAAAGGAGATTATTTTAAAAATACCTTTTGTATGAATTTAAAATAATCTCTAATTTAAATAATTATTAACTAACCATCAAATCTGTTATTACCAGAACAGCTACTATTACTTAATTGAGTTTAACTAATAGGAATCAGCCAACTGATGATCCTTAGTACAAATACAATACCTTCGTTTAGCATATACTAGTTGGCTAATTATTATAGATATAACTGCAGGATTTTGCCTTGTTAGTTGTCAGTCAACCAACAAAGAAAAAGTGAGAGTCTTTTATAAAAAGCCTATCGGAGTGGGTAGGATGAAGCTGAACTTTCTGTTTTTGAACACAGCAGATATAAGGATCCATAAGACACATGTTTACCTGTATCAATTACCAATTAATTGTCATCCAGATGAATACACAATGACACATTTGTTACATTTTAGCAATATGGTTTTAGTGAAGCCAGTATGTATCTTAAAAATTAAGAAAGGCATTATTCCGTTATTCATTGATATGGTTTGACTATGTCCCCCACAAATTTCATCTTGAATTGTAGCTCCCGTAAACCCCATGTGTCATGGGAGGGATCTGATAATTGAATCATAGGGGCAAGTTTTTCCCCATGCTGTTCTCATGATAGTAAGTCTCATGAGATCTGGTGATTTAATAAAGGGCAGTTCTCCTGCTTATGCCCTCTTGCCTGCAGCCATGTAAAACATGTCCTTGCTCTTCATTCACCTTCTGCCATGATTGTGAGGCCTCCCCCGCCATGTGGAAATGTGAGTCCATGAAACCTCCTTCCTTCATAAATTACCCAGTCTTGGGTATGTCTTTATTAGCATGAGAACAGACATATCCATGCATTCAACAGATATTTATGCAGTGAGGTATTAGGTGAAGTTGGAGATGTGGGCAGGGGTTAGGCCCTGTAGAATCCTGTAGGCCATGACAAGAAGTTTGGACATCCTTGTCACAAACTTGGTGAAGTATCTTAAACAGTAGAATAAACAAATAAAACCTTTGATTTGCTGTCTAGAAATATCACCGTGCTGTGCTGAGAATATGCTGCAGTAAGGCAAGATTTAACAACTTATTGCAATAGTCAGGGCAAGAATCAAGGTAAAGGTGGTGGCAAGGGAGAAAAGTCAGCAGGTTCAGGTTGTGTAGGTTGAGAAATTAGCAGTTGAGTGAACAGAGAACCTGAACTCCATCTGATACCTACACATTTTTTCTTAGATGAAAGACGATCTTATAATGATTGCTAAGGTAGAGAACACAAATTCGTATACTCCTTTAAAAAACTGATACATAACATTTGTACATATTTATGGGTGCATGTGATATTTTGTTACATGCATAGAATGTGTAAATGATTAAG